AGGGGGGGAGTCAGCGTGGTTTAAGACATGCATGATGTAGATTCAGTGGTGACACAATAAAGAGAGAATGATTTTAGATTTCACTGCTTGTGGATATTGCTGTCAGTACGTCATTTAACTCACGGCAATTTGCGTGACACAAAAAAGTCAGACAATCATTATTATGCGCCCGATCTTAGCTCTTTTCGCTGTAAGTACAAGGGTAAAATTATACTTTATATTATATTATACATCGCACATGAACCTCTTTCCCCGCTATCGCATGGAGCCGTCAACTCCAAGCCTCCCTTCACACCAATTGAACTAAGGTATAAACTTTGTCGTGAAGTAAATAATGTGTGTCGCAACACGGTGGAATCAGGCGCTCGTCAATTTTTTTATATTTAACATTTGGAGTCATTGGAAACATCTTAAAGCTTGTTCATCAGTCTTAAATTTTGATGAAGGAAATACCCGTCTATCTTGAGCAGAACAAGAAATATCTTCCTTTGAAGGAGGTGAGGGGTCGCCTAATACATGTACCAGAAGTAAAGTTAGGGAGAAAAGAGCCACCAAAGCTTGGTGAATTCCAAAACTTAAATGCTTTTGGAAATATAAAAACTATCTAATAGGTTAAGAAAAAAGGACGGTTTTTACAATTTCACAATTTTGAGGGGCACCGGATTTTACCACGACACCACACATATACAGTAGTTTGCCACGAGTCTCTCCGCCATAATGGCCCCTACTACGCCAAGGACTTCATACAATGAACATACGATTTATAAGGAATCTAGATTGCTCGTCGAGTCGAATGAACTTTTTGTTGATTGTAAATTATTGTAAAACGTTTTACGTGCATATCGGTGCTGCTGAGATAATTTAAGATACGGGCTTCTTTGACTCTGCCTGTTAATACCAGTCGCAAGCACAGTAAATCTCTAATAAAACCTGAATATGAAAAAACAGCACCCCAGCATTGAGGCGAAATTTTCTACAGAAAAAGACCTTCTTAATCGAAACGGAATTCAATTTAGACTTAACGTGTGACTGTGTAAAGCCTAACGAGTTTACCAAAGACAACGGGCACGAGTTCGTCACATCAAGCGAAATAGACATTCCTTGTCAAATTTGGTTGGATCTAACTATTGTTAACAGAGTAAGTGGATTACTTGATCAGGGAAACTTTCTGTGTAGATTTTTGTTTATAGAGTCTGCACTTGCATAACTTGCAAGATTTCGAGTGACTTGATCTAGGCTAGGGTTTTTTTTGGGTTTTTTTTTTTTTGGGGGGGGGGGTTCTTAAGAATCTGTATATCTATATTTAGCAATTGTCTGACTCCCTGACTATTTCGTTGCAACAAATCCACCTCTTTCCCCAGCTTCAGACACAATGGAAGATACTATTTATTTTTGTTTGGTTTGAGTAAATAGACGTACACAACTGTAGTTTTGTTGAGAGGCAGAGAAAAAGAAATGGTGGACAAAAACATTCTAAAGAAAGTAAGATAATGGAATGAAGTATAACGGAAGACGAAACAAAATTCAAGTAAAATCAGTAGAAGACGAAACGAAATTACCACACGATAAAATAAATATATCATACTGAACTTTGACCGGGACATCTGTTTTCTCTTTACTTTAATAAAAAGAAAATCTGTAAAATAGATTTTAAAACTTTTATTTTACGTTTCTTGTGATATTTGAACATTAACATAACTATATAAATCGCACTGCTCGTGGGCTGTCGGTTACGTGCTTGATAAGCATCCACGCACTCCGAGGAATGGAATCGAATGGTGTCAGAATCCTTTTTCTTGTCCTTTCTTGAATACTTCTTATTCTCATGTCGTTGTCCTGACCTAGACACGCAACGTCCGGATATCGAAATGATCTTTATTGAATCTAACAGGGAGCCAAGCAGCAACAAGATTGATACGCCTTCTTCAGCCTCAAAGAAGTCCGTAAAATGTGCTCGAGACGACTGAGAGGTGTGTGAAAAATATAAAGTCACTAACAAGAAGTAAACTCCGAACGTTTGTGTACATAGACCTCCGAACATTGTTATGATCTTACATGTACGGTGCGATGGAACTATGCAAATAGCATAATCTTTGTCAAGAGCTAAAATGTATTGAATCAGTGATGATGTTATTCAAAATAATAACATACCATAACACTGTACTATCATAGCTAGCCTTAGAAAATCAGCCTCGGTCTAGTATTAAAATTCCTAATGCTTCGTTTCCTTTTTGTATTTCAAATTACTTACATATTTTGAACTGATTGATCCTAAAATATTTTTCTAATTCCTTTAATTATAAGTCAACTTTAGTTTCTCATCCTAGGAAAATAAAAGCACAGTAGTCTATATTCATGCAAACTCTCTTTCGTTTCGATTACCAATTATCTAAAGAAGATCGCTGCACTAAAACTATTCGACCATGCTTGACGTCTTCCTTAGCTCAAACACCACATAATTGAAGTCTTAGATAATTCTAATATCCCATAATTTCCGCATTTTCAAAACATGATTGCTTTCTCATATACTATAATTGACTATAATTTTATGATCAATCAGCCCCAATAATTATACTGCTCGTCTGAAAACATAGAATTTCAATATCTGTACTACAATGGCAGAAAGGGGTATCCCATTTAAAAGAGACCCGAGCAATTTTTCATAAGAATGTCACCACAGAAGGGTTATAGTTGAAACACTTTGTTGATGCTTAAGTCAGAGGTGACTAGGATTGGAAAATGGTATCTGATTTACTGTGTTACCCTAGAATTACAAAGTTCTGTTTGACATTATTTAGCCGTTTTGAGTTAAGACCATGAGGCCAGTAACCATTTTATGTTCTATCCGCTCTATCAAAATCGTAAGATAAGTTCGAGCCGTTATCAAGATATTCAAAAGAATTATATTTTAAACATCTTAAAATGTGGTAAAACTCAAAATTTTTAACGTCAGATTTCTCAAAACAAGGTACTGAGCTGAGAGAACTTTGTAATTCCAGGGAAGCGCTGTGTTAAAACTTGTACAAACGGTATTATGCAATAAAGGCTAGTTAATGGGTAGGATAAAATTGTAAATGTTTTACGCCCTCATCAACAATATTAAGATCATTAGGGAGATGGGCTACTTTAAGTCTGCAGTAGATAGATAGATAGATAGATAGATAGATAGATAGATAGATAGATAGATAGATAG